GTATACATTTAAAACATTATTCCCGGGGGCACCTGGGTGGCTCAGTCGTTAAGCGTCTGCCTTCGGCTCAGGTCATGGTCCCAGGTCCTGGGATCGAGCCCTGCATCGGGCTCCCTGCTCGGCGGGAAGCCTGCTTCTCCCTCTCCCACTCCCCCTGCTTGTGTTCCCGCTCTCGCTGTCTCTCTGTCAAATGAATAAATAAAATCTTTAAAAAATATATTAATTAAATAAAATAAAACATTATTCCAAGAAGGAGTATCGGACTGCCAAAGGAGCCCATGACACAAGAGGACACAAAACCTATTCTAAACCTTCCCTTCCCTCAGTCCTCAGTCCTCTTCCCTCAGTCCTTCCCTCAGTCCTCACACCCTGTTATGACCAGTCCTCAGAAAGGAAGGGACAACAGCTCCCAGGGCAAATGTCCACCATGCACTTTCCTCATCAGGAATTCTTCACTGGTCCTCAATTTCACCCCTTCCTTCTGTTCTCTTAAAATCATCGTAAGGTTTCGGGCGCCTAGGTGGCTCAGATGGTTAAGCGTCTGCCTTTGGCTCAGGTCATGATCCCAGGGTCCTGGGATCGAGCCCCGCATCGGGCTCCCTGCTCAGCGGGGAGCCTGCTTCTCCCTCTGCTTCTCTCTCTCTCTCTCTCTCTCTCTCTCTGTCTCTCATGAATAAATAAATAAAATCTTTAAAAAAAAAATCATCATAAGGTTTCACCATCTCTTTAACTGGCCAAATAAGGTGAAGCTAGAGAGAGACCTAGTGCCAACATTTAAGGAGGTGGTTACTCTCAGGCCCTGATTCTGTAAATGCAGAATCAGCACCTGTACAGCCCTGAGAATGAGTTCCCCCTTAAAGTTATGTACACTGGGTACCTCTGGCCTCACCCCAGTCCAGGCCCTGCTATAACCAAATATATACTCATGGTGTAACCAAAGCTCTCAAAAATGCTCCACTCAACTTTCATTAGAACTCAGTCTCAACCCTGGCTCCACATAACAATCACCTGGGGAGCTATTAAAAATCCCCATGTTCAGGCTGTACCACAGGCTAATTAAATGAGAATTTCTGGAGGTGGCCCCTGGCACGTCTATTTTTTACTTTGCATTTAAAGCTCTCCAGCAGCTTCTCAAGTGCAAACAAGGCCGGGAAACACGGCCTGAGAAAGAAGAAGATTTCTTTAGAAATCCCTCAGCAGTTCTGGATGAATCTGAAATCCAACTGTTTGAGCTTAAAAAGTGAACAGATGATTACGACTCAGTCCCCATGCACAAGCACTCATCTCTTCATTCACTCAACAAACATACCCTTAGTGTCCACAATGCTCCACAACACAGATCTTCCTCCCTTCCCTTCAGGTAAGCTTGCAGACTAGTGAGGAAGACAGAAATTAGTCAAACCTGTAAAGGAGTATTTACAAACTGATTAAAGTGTTATAAAGGAACAGATGCTGAGAGAGAGTAAAGTAGGGAGAGGACTGTCACACAGAAGCATTATCTAACAGGATTAACCCATCCAAGGATTACCTAACTCCCTAGGGATATGTACTTTTGTTTTGACTTACTATTTACTCTTCATTATGCATCTTACAACTTCACTGGTAGAAAACTGTTAGCTAACTAATCTTGTCTACTAGCAATGCAAGTGAATTTCATCTTACAAAAGAGTATAATAACCAAATTACAGTTTTACTGCTCTACAGGGCATTCATCAATTTTATATGTAATTTAGCAATCTTATTCCAGCATTCTTTCTTTCCATGACTATAAATACTTCTGACTCTCCTACACTTTCTTGAACCAGCTTTACTCTACGCTGGTTCCTTCATTAATTAATTAATTTGACAGAACCTACTTTAGACAGGATGGTGGGGACAGTCCACAAATCCTGAAGGACGAGGAGGAAGAGCCAGCCATTGGAAAGGAGGCGGGGGAAACAGACTGCCGGGAACCCAAGACCTCAAGATAACATGGTCTTTCCTGCACCAGAAATGGCTAGGCCAGTGAGGCCGGGCTACAGATTGCGAACACAAGGTGGGGGGCAAGTTTAAGATGAGGATGGAGAAGCAGAGACTAGATTACTTAGGGCCTTAAAGATCAGTGTAGTGACTGATTTTAGTCTGATGTACAACAAGCCAACCAGTGGAGGATTTCAAGGAGTAGGATGAAAAGATCATTCCTACTGCCGCATGGGAAAAGAGACTAAAAGAGAGAAAAGAGGAGGCCAAGAAATCAATGACAAAACCACTGTGATATCCGAGTGAGTGGCTGAAGATGGCTGGATCTAGTAGGTATAGAGAGATGGAGGGAGCAAGCAATGAGACTGGAGCCGCACTGCCAGGAATGTTGATGGATTACACTGTGGAGCAAGGAAAAGGGCGGAATCAAGGATGACTTCTAGGTTCCTGGATTGAGCAACTATAGATGCTGGTGGCATTGGCCAAAATGGGCAAGGCTGGGGGTTAGAGGTTAACACACACATACACACAGACGCATGTAATTCGTGAAATAAGAATAGACTCACAACTCCATGAGTGTGATGAGGCTACTACAACCTTTCAGATTAAGTTCTCACAGAGCATTCTCTTTGGCTTTCAAGGTTTGTGTCATCAAACATTAAACTAATGGATTTCAAGCAATAAATTGGAAAATTCTAAGTGGCAGCTCAAAGTATGGCCCAATGTTGCCCTCATTCTTACTTAACATATGCTGACTGCAAATAACTTTTATTTAATAAATCTTTAAATGAAGGAAGAAAATTCAAAATTAACTGTGAGTATACTTAAACTGTCAAAGGTAAAAGGCAGCATCAGGATTTATAAAATACAGCTGAGAAGGCCTTACACTTGTGAAAAAGTGTTACTCCTTTACACATGTCATAATTTAGACAACTCCCCCCTCCTTCTCCCCCCTTTCCATTCCCAGGAAATTTGGCTGTAGATGTGGGCACAAATCAGGTAAAAGACCATTCTAACTTAAAATAAACAACAAAAGTGTTAAAAATTTATTCTTGAATACAACAAAGGAGCTTTAACTTTTCCAGAAGATAAAGCTGGAAGATACAACAATAAAGCTTAATGATCATTTACAATGGAATGAAAACTGGAAAGTTTCCGTGTCTACCCCAAGTCCAATTACAATGTGATGTGACTTTAATCACAGCAAGTGACTTACAGCAGAGACTACTCCGCCTTATAGTGATAAACACCAAACTTGCCACTGAAATAATGCTCCATTAAAAACTATTTTAAGGAACCAAATTATGTAATATCAAGGGATGCCTTTTGGGTAAGATTTTTTTCCCATTCAGAATATATTCCATGATTCCACATTATAATCAGCACCTTATTAAACCGAATAATCAAGAAGAGGCTACTATGCATGAAGATCGAGGAAAGTGAAGGCTGAGCTTCTGGCTCCAAACTCTACTAACCTTATGTCTTTAGGCAAATTACTCAACGCCCCCTAAACTTCAATTTCCACATCTGTAAGAGAAGGATAACAACAGTACCACAGGAGAGACTTCCAGTGTTTATCCAGAGCCAGTTCTCTCCTTGCAGGCACAGGAGAGAATTACACCCCCGCCCCCCCCCCCCCCCCCCCCCCCCCCCGTCTGCTCTGCAGTTCAGTGGATCCATGTGACAAGTTCTGGCCAATGCACTGTGAGCAGAAGTCATGTGAGTCATATCCAGGACCAAGTATTTAACTGCTAGGGTGAGAAACTATTTCTCTGTTGCAGCAATTATAGGAACAGGTGCTTGCCAGGGGAGGGGGGGTGCCACAAGATAAAGTAGCCAGGATCATGAAGCCACCACATGGAGGGCAGCTGCCCTAGAGGGTCACCGCGACCCACTGCAAAGCAAGAAGTGACCCTGTATTTTGTTAAGGCACTGGGATTTCAGTGGGATTTGTTTCACAGTTTATCGCAGGCAATGCAAACTAACACCACCTAATTTAGTCAGATGTCATGAGGACTAAATGAGATGGTATCTGGTAGACACTAAGCCTTTAATAAAGATTAGTGGGATGATTATGGCTCCCTGATGGTTAGTGCAAAAGGACTTTATTTCCCATAGTCAAGCTATCAGAATCTTGTCAGCTATTTAAGAGTTGTCCTAAAAGGTTCCTGAACCCATTTTGAGGTTTATCAAGGACTTCAGAGGACAGGCGTGGACAGTTGAGTGGTTTTTATCTCAAAATGAGGAAAAGGAAAAAGTTTCTGCATGGCTGTGTGAACTTATGAAAGTAACTCAGATCAGAGTAAATGAACAGAGGACTTCAGCACAGCCCTGGAATAATCACCTTCTTCACAGAGATTTGTAAACCCAATACTGAGGCAGTATAAATGATGCTCTGGGGCTTTACTTTTTGTTTAAGTTGTGGAAAGCGTTCAAACATTCACTGGGTTGGGGGCAGGGATGGCAAGATAAGAAAACGTTAAATCAAAACTTTGAGAAGCTAAATTCATTCCGCCAAAAGTTTGGTAGCTCCATAGGACTTACTAATCATTAGAAGAGTGCTTCAGGAATTGGAGGATTAAAGGACGATCATGCATGATATGACTTGCAGGGGCAGGAGAAGAAATAGGGGCAGTTCCACTCTAACTCTCCCACGTACTTGTCCCCTTGTTCCTAATAGAACTTCAAATGGCATTGTATATTCTTCAAGAGGAAAATAAAACTAAATGTTATTATTATTTTGCCACAGGCTCTAGAATTCCTGTCCTGATCTCCTTCTGCTAAAGAACAAAAACTATTTTAACATCAAGTCCGTTAAAGGCATGAATCTCAGGTCACTCTGAATATTCTTCCCATTTCAAAAAGAAAAAAAAGAAAAAGTAAGATACCTGCTAAGTTTTCTTACTTTATTTTACAACAGTTGGAAGAAGCAAGGAGAAATTCCACAAATGCTTATAACAGGCCTTAAGCCCACTAAAAATGGTTCTCATAAACAAGACACCCGTCATGGACAATCAAGTGTATAAATGGGAGATACTTACCACATTTAAGACTCTCTATCCGTACAGGAAGGCCAGACTGTGCTGCAGCAATCAGTTTTAAGGCAATGTAAAACTGTGTTGGACCAAAATAACCAACCCGCTTTGCACCACACAGTTCTGTGATCTGAAAACAGACAAGAAAAACCAGGCTGAAAAACCCATTTCATAACAGGAAAATGAGACAAGATATATTATGAAATCTCAAGGATTTCACAGTGTAGCGAACCAAAAACTCCCTGAAGAACCTATGTGTACACACTGGTTAGGGGTTTTTTCCTCCAGTTTATAGGAAGATTTTCAATTCAGATAATTAAATTCTACCTACTCATGATGTTTTAGGACTGAGTGATTATTCCTCTTCTTTCAAAGATAAAAATAAAGGTGACAAAGATGGCTGTTACTGTTCTTAAAAAAGACAGTGACTTGTTCAGGGGGTGGATACTAATGTACAAAGTCTAGAAGATCATTGGGGTGAAAAGAGAACAGGTTAGTCATTACCACTATTTGTGGATTATCCCAGCTGATCAAAACTAAAAGTGAATTAATTATTTTTAAAGTTTTCAGGCAACAGGATTTCCTAAGCATTGAAACCACATCACAAGTGCTCACTTCAGAGAAGCAAAAGGGTGGCGGGGGGGGGGGGTCCTATGAACACAAATGTCTTTAAGATCTTGCAATCTTTAATTTGCAGACCTTAACACATATCCTATTGGTAGTTTAAAACTAACAAATATTCAATGACTTTTTAAAGTTATTTCAAAGTAATACTCAAAAGTTCAAATAATAGTAAATGGGGTGAAGATCTAAAAAGCACCCTCCACTTCCTATGGCCCAGAGGAAAACATTATATTCTTTTAGAAATGTTCTATGCATATATAGCACACACCTATGTTTTTCCTCTTGTTTACTCAATACTTTATACAAACAGAATACCATATACTATTTTGCAACTTGTTTTCATTTAGCATTATCCCTTGAAGAAAAATCTTCTCTATCATCACAGTTAAAAATACATCTTTCTTTTAACAACTACATAATACTCTGCTATAAAGATACACCGTGGTTTCTTTTTTTTAGTTAGTCCTTATGGATGGGCTTTTAGATTTCCAAACTATAAAAAGCCACTAATTAATCTTAAGAAAATTCCTATAAAAATTCAACTAGGATGTCAGCAAAAAAATGGGGGGGAATAAAGGCCTCCAAAAATTCTCTCCTCTATCAAAGCAATGAGAAAACTATGCAAATGGACAGAACTCTGGAAATGAACCAAAGGCTCGCAGCAATCCAGGGAGCGTTTATTCAAGAAAAACTGTGCATCTCAGGAAGAACACTGAGCTCTGTGGTATTTAAATGGCCTTACACCCAAGCCCCCACCCCAACTGCAGGCATCTCTGTGGTTGCAGGCATCCTCAGCCCGCAGTCACAGTGAGACGAACAGCCTGGCCGCCACAGGAGGGGACAGGACAGGGCTGGGCTTCTTCAATGTATACATTAGTGTTTGTCTTTCTCTCTTTCTCTCCCCTCTCTCTCTCTCTCTCACTTTCCCTCCCTCCCTTCCCCCCCCCACCTTCCTTCCTTCCTTCTAATACTTCTAGGATTTCTCAGAGCAGGTGCTCTAACTCTCCTAGCCCTAGACTACAAGCTGGGGTTGGGGGGAGGGGGCGAGTCCTGTCTTCTTGGCTGGATCTACCAGGAATGGAGCTCTCCTCATATGGAACTGGTGGAGGACAGGTGGGGAGCAGGTCATGGTTCAAATACTGCAGACTCACTGCTCTTACCAAGATTTAGAGGATTTTCTTGAATGTTTCTCCATTTGCTGTATGTCCTCAGGTCAATTTCCAATGACTTTAATTATTTTTTATATTTTTTTGTTACTATTTAAAAGGTTGTTTCATTGGAGAGGGTCTGCTGAGTTTCTCAGGCTGCTGTTCCAAAAGTCTCAATCCTCCCCAGATTCATTGACTGGAGAAGCAATAGGATGTTATGGTAGAGAACAGCCCTTGGAGTAAATGACTTGGTTGTGAATCCTGGCCTGGGCACTAATTAGCTGTTTGCATAACCTAAGGCAAACTACTTAACTCTTGTGCCTCAGTCTCCCCATAAGTATAAAGAGAGATAACAGTAATTACCTCCTGAGAGCTAATTAGCAGTGCTGAAAACAGTGCCCATTCAATAAATGCACTGCTGTCTGATTTATTGATCGACTTGTCTTATTTTTTTCCCAGTCTAGCTGCATATTAGAATAACCTGAGGAGCTTCTGAAAAATACAGTTACCTATGCCCTACCCCCCAAAGATTCTGCTTTAGCTGGTAAATTGTGCAGCCCAGGCATGGGTATTTTTGCAAAGCTCTCAACGTAATTCTAATGTGCAGCCAAAGCTGAGAATTACTGCTCCTTCAGTGATCTCATTCCCTCTCCAGGCCTCAATTACCATCCAAATGATCACCAAGTCACTCTCTCCAAACGTAACATCTCAGATGCTTCATACGCTTTTCCAAATCCCTAACACAGATACCCAATGCCATCTCAGACAATAAAATAAATAAGCCCCTTCCCACATATCCTGGCACCTGCTAATTAATCTTGTTGATGTCAACTATTCCATATCCTAAATCAGAAATTTATCTTCAATGGCAACCATATCCAGTTGATCCTACCACTGACCCATGTCCCAAATCAAGGCTATCTTCTCCCCTGTCACAGCCTTAACCCTTCCTAATATCCACCTGGCTACCGTGACAGATTTTCTAAATAGAATTCACACACTTAATCATACAGGGACAGATTTCTTTAACTTTTTTCTAACTTTATTCCATAGTTGGTGGTGTTCTCACAACAAAACATGCAGGCACTAATACTGAGAGAGATGAAAAACCCCTGAGTGTGACTTTCAGATAATAGTGAGTTTTCCTCAAGTGAACAAGTAGACATCAATACTAATTATCAGAATTTGTTTCAAGAAGAAATATAATATTCGTATGGAAAAACATAATATAGATACAGAAAAGCATACAAATCCTAAGTGTATAGTGTATGGGGAGGTAAGTTTTCACAAAGAGAACACAACTACATAACAAGCGGCCAGAATCAAGAAATAAAACATTACAAGTCTTCTAGAAGCCGCCCTGTGCCGCTCCTTTCAATCGCTACCCATACGCCATTTTCCTAACTTCTAATACCATAGATTAGTCTTGCCTTTTTCTGAACTTTACATAGTCAAAAGAGTATGTACCCACATGTCGGGCTTCTTCAATGTTATTTGTAACATTCTTCCAAGTTGCTGAGTGAAATTACGGTTCAATCATTTTAGTTGTTATTCAAATATTTGTGTGGATATATCACAAATTATCTATCCTTCTGCCACTGGACATTTGGATGGTTTCCACTTCGGGTCTATTCTGAATCGTGCTGCTCTAATACTCTTGCTCATGTCCTGTCAAGACATGTAGAGCGGAATACATTGGCCTGAAATACATTTCTCTTTAGGTTTTTATCTAAGAGTGGTAATTGCTGGCTTACCAGATATGTGTATGTTCAGTGTTAGTAGATACGGCCACACTGCCACCAACGGAGTTTGGGAATTCAGTTTGCTTTACGTCCTTGCCAACACTTGGTATTTTTAGGCTTTTTCATTTTCAGCATTCTAATGGGAGTGTGGTATAATATCTCATTGTAGTTTTAATTTGCATTTTTCTGAGAACTAGGAAGTTTATCACCTTTTCATAGGATCATAGGTATTATGGTCCTGAGACCAATCCCAAAACGTGAAGGGGGGGGGGGAGTATCCCACACAGCACCAAGTAATTCTCCAGACAACACCTGGGTATCCTACAGGTCAACTCAACTCCGACAGGATTACCTAGAGACAGCATCAGATTCCACAGATTAAGGGCTCAGTCCTCCAAGACTGCCCCCTTGGGCACCCCCCCCCCACTTCAGACATCAGTCACAAGCCCAGGTTGTTACCAATTGGCTATAAATCAGACGTTCCCATGACCCCCTCCTCAGGTTTGGTTAATTGGCTACAACAGCTCACAGAATTCAAAGAAACATTTTACTCAGTAGATTAACAGTTTATTATAAAAAGGATATAACCCAGATACAGCCAAATGAAAGAAATGAATAGGGCAAGGTATGGGGAAGTGTAAAGAGTTTCTATAGCCTCTTGGAGCACCACTCCACTCTCCCCAAATACCTGGTGCTCACCAACCCAGAAGCTCTCTGAAATCTGTCCTTTTGGGATTTTATGGATGCTTCATTACATAAGCATGATTTGATTAAATCACTGACCATTGGCGATTGATTCAACCTCCAGCCCCCTCCCTGCCTGGAGGTTTGTGCAGGGTGGGTATCCAAAGTTCCAAACCTCGGATCACAAGGTTGGTTCCCTTGGCAACCAGCCCCCATCCTGGTTACCTGAGGGCTTACCCTAAGTCACCTTATTAACATAAAAAAAAGACACATTTACTGCTCCGATCCCAGGAAATTCCAAGGGTTTTAGGGGCTCTGTGCTTTAGGAACGGGGTTGAAGACCAAATACATATTTCTTATTATAAATCACAACGTTACCATGGGCCATTTGCATGTGACTAATTCTCTACTAATCTCCATGAAATAGGGAGATGTGTTTGTTGTTCATCTGTTCATTCTCTGCCATATTGTCTATACTTAATAAATACTGGTTGAATAAATAATTTTTCTGACCCATACTCACCTCAGCTCATCTTGCAATTCCAGTTTGTCTTCCACAGTGTCTGCATATTCTTCCTTTTGAAAGCTGACAATACTGTTAGGCTTTAAGACATCTCATCCTGGAACACCATCCTCAGGACAATATTCTATCTCCTTAGTTTGGCATTAAAGTCCCTTCACAACCTGGCCTGGAACAGCTTCTCCAGTTTCATCTCTGAACATGGATGAAACATCGACACACGAACACGCACACACACACACACACACAATTCTGTAGCTGCATTCCACTTCTCCCACTTTCACCGACACATCTTGTACTTTCACTTCTCTGTATCTATGCACATGGTGCAGAAGATGGCAAACTAAATAGCCTTAAAGTCAAAGCTGGTTTGCAACACGCAAAACTAATTAGTTTTATAACTTAGGGCAAA